AAAAAACATTTAAAAATTAGATTATATTTTAAAAAATAGGATAAAGAATTCTATGCTTCTCATGTTTGCATATAAGTCCAAAAATTGAGCTTCAAATTTAGAGAAATATTAAATTAAGGTTCTTTGCTTGCTGGGCAGTATGAGGCTTGATTAAAAATACAGTGAACGTTTAAATAATAATAAAAAAAATGTATGGAGCGAACAACCCATGTCATTAATCCTTCCCAGAATGCCACCCTTCAAACACACTTATCCCATCATTCGTGTCACTTTCTGAAGCAGTTCTGAAAGTCTTCTTTCATATCTTTGGTTGTGCTGTCGTGGCTGCTTCAGTGTACTGAATGGATTTGAAACACTTACCTTCCCTAGTCCTTTTGACTTTGGAGAAGAGCCAGAAGTCACCCAGTGCCAGGTCTGGTGAATAAGGTGGGTGAGGACACACTGTAACGGTTTTGCGTAGCCTACCGTTCTGTCAGCTAGCACTAGGCAGCAGCGCTCACTGTAGTTTTGGTCACGCCCCCTAACGACACTCACAAGAGGACTTCCGGTATTGCTTGAGAAGGTAGCAAGAACGATGGGAAAAAGTCTTCTGAAGGGAGAGGTAGTATTTTCAGAGGTTAATGATGATGTGTCTCGAATTGTAATAAATTTTTAAAATGTACACATTCACTCTGTGTTGATCGCTCCTTGTATATGTATATGTATATTTTACTCCTTGTGAAATCTTTTTACAAATGAACACGAAAATCTTGGATTTAGGCAGGACATTTTTTTTTTAACCAAATCTAAGAGTTTGCCATGGTCAAATAAATATAAACAAAGTTTTAAGGCAGGAATTTGATAATAATGCTGTTTGGAGTTAGAAATGTAGAGAATGGCAAGGGAGGGTGCATTTGCTTAGCCGCTTCCTGGGGGAGGGAGCCTGCTTTCTCTCTCTACACTGGTGCACAGGCGCTGTGACTGTTCTTTGGGGAAGAGCCAAGAGGTTCTTTAGGATGAAAGATCCAAACCAACACAGGAACAGACCTTCAGCCTGCTCCTCTCTCCTAACCAGGAAAGCACTATGGCGTGTACAGCTGTGAAGGCTGCAAAGGCTTCTTCAAGAGGACCATAAGGAAAGACCTCATCTACACATGTCGGGATAACAAGGACTGCCTCATTGACAAGCGCCAGCGCAACCGCTGCCAGTACTGCCGCTATCAGAAGTGCCTGGTCATGGGCATGAAGAGGGAAGGTGAGGCTGGCCGTGGCCCCCTGCTGTGCATGCTTGCTTCCGATTGACCACAGGCTACAGGTGCATAGAAAGGGGTTCACTGTGCTGGACTGTAGAGGTTGAGATGTGTTGGGTGCTGAGATTTCTCAAGGAGATATTTCCCCCTAGCCCACCCTGCCATCTGCCTGCAGCCCTGAGGGTCCCACACTGGCCTCTCCCTTTTCCTTCCAATACCAAGGTGGCAGGGCTCATGCTGCGGCTTCCTGGCCCTCGAGCCCTGAGTGTCTAAGGCAGCAGCGGTCTGACCTTCCTGCCAGAGCCCACTTGTCCCCTCTAATCCTAGGGCTCACTCAAGGGAAAGCTGCAGGTTTGATTTTATTGCCATGCCCTGCTGTAAATCTTTTGGTGACAGTTTACTCCATGGTCTTTGGGGATTCTTGGCATTACTGAGTCTGACAGGCCTTGCCTGCTCATTCAGAGCCTGTCCTTGTGCATTTAAATTGTTCTATCTTTTAATTTATAGTGTGGGTTACTAGGCTATTGTGGGGTCAGAGGAAAGTAAATCTGAAAGGGCTTTGATCAAAAAAGATCAAAAAGTCATTTTGTTAAACAACACATAAACTGAAGTGGGCTGTTTGCTAGCTATTGGACTTGAGCAAGTACATGGTGTTGTGGAGACTCATAGAGAAGAGAGGAGTCTGCCCTTCTCTGAAGATAGGAATAGGAGCTGGGTCCCCGAAGCTCCTTGGGGGAAGGACATCTTTCAGTGAGGAGTGGGAGGTTGACAGAAGGAACCAAAGGAAGCAAAGTCCTTTGGCCCAGGGAACATGTCATGAGAGCTTGGCATCGGAGTCAACTCGTAATGGGCCTTTTCACAGAGGGGGCACAGTCCAGAGGGGTACAGTACTTTCCAAGGTCCCCTGGTGGCCATAAGAAGATAGCAGGTCTCCCACTCCCTGCCAGGATGTGGAGGACTTGAGCATGGAGTCCCAGGATGGGAAGAGCAAGCCCTCTGGCTCATCAGTCTTCCCCATTTTGGAAAACAGCCCCTCCCTCTCCCAGGAGCTCAGACCAAAGCCCCTTGACTTACTTCTCTTCCGCATACCACACATAGTAGGCAATGGGATCTTGCCTCTTCCTCAGAATGGATCCAGGCTCCTTCTCTGTCTCACTACTTTACTACCACTTCCCTAATTTGAGCTGCCCTTTTCCTTTGTAGCAACCCTAACAGCATCCTAGGAGGCTTCTCTGCTTCTGTCTTCATCTTTCTATGTTCTCTTCTTAGCCAGCAGCTGGAGTGAATCTCTGAATAGAGCAGGTCAAGCCCGTTGTTCACCCCGATCCACTAGTGCTTCCCCTTCTCCAGAAGAAAACAAAAAGCAAGATGTTGGTTATGACTTCCAGGCTGTCTGTGGTCTGGAGTCCTCTTCACACTTGGCAGGGGAGGTCCTGCATTGGGCCCTTTGTACTTGCTGTTCTGACTACTAGAACATTTCCTTCCTGGGTATCTGCTTGGCTCGTGTCAGCTCTTCTATCCCATCTTTACTGAACAGTCACCTTCTCATTAAGCCCTGCCTGGCTGTGCCCCTGAATCCTACCCACCACCCAGCACTTCCTTGTCTCTTTCCTATAGCATCTATCGTGGCTAATATACCTGGATATCTTGTCTACCCTCTGTCCCCATGAAGGCGTGGATTCTCTCTGCTGTTTAGTTCCATCTTCACCACTATGTCACCAGTGACTTGAACCCATAGCCATAAAGTGAATTGTCAAATGAACATATTGTGCTGAAAGCAGGAGCTTTAGGAAGGTTGGAGCTCCTAAAAATGATACTTCCCTGAGCATCGTGGCACATGCCTGTAGTCCCAGCACCCTGGGAGGCTGAGGTTGGAAGGTTGCAAATGGGTTATAATTTTCCTCCCAGAGCAGTTGAGATACATTTCAGGTGGACTTGGAAAAATAACAGTTTTCATTAGCCATAAGACATTAAATTTAAAAAAGTGAAAGGCTCCACTCAAAGAAGTTGTCATTTTTGTTTCTTCACTGTTACTCTAATCTAGCTCTCAAAACTCAGGCAGGGCGTCACTCAGGTCAAATAAGATCAGAGGGCCACATAGGAACACCAGCTCAAATGCTGCACAGTGTGGTTCTCTCTCTCTCTCTCTCTCTCTCTCTCTCTCTCTCTCTCTCTCTCTTTCT